TAAGGGGGGGGGGGTATGTAACTATGGTGTTCTTTTTCGTTGCTATGTGTCTGTAAGGGGAGGGGGGGGGGGAGCCGCAAAAACCTCGAACTTAAAACTTACACTCACTATTTTTCTTCGAAAATATATGTGAGTTCCACAAAAATGTTTTTTATATATCAATAAGGAATCAGTTTGATTTGTTATTTATTATATAAAACTAAAGAATTATTGAAACTTTCGAACTGTATCGTTAAATGAATCGGATCTATCATGAATCAATAAACTGTTAATTAATTGAAATATATAATATTGTAGAATGTATCGATCTAGTGGAATATTATTTTCCTATGGTACTGATCTTCAATGACTTGCTTCATCTTACATTTGATTGAGAAGGATTTTGTTTGATAAGAGATGTATATATTCTTATCTGAAAAGATTTAATTAAAAAATTTGTCGCTGCACTGGAATAAGATTCATCATATGAACTGATTAGGACATTAATTTTGCGACATTCTTGATATTTCTAAAGGTATTCGTATTGACAATCTTATTTTTGAAAATTTTCCTATTTTGGTATTTTCTTGTCTAATATTCTACTCTATTGGATATATTTTTCGACAATTTTTTCAGCTTTAATTGAAATTCTCTTAGTGTTCTTGTTAAAATTCAATAGAAGATTCTAGATGAATGAATATTATTTTATTGAAATTATACCGCTTCCACAAAGTCCTCACGGAGATAAAAACCATTCTGATATTACGAAAAAGAATTTTTCTCCCAAATGTAACGTGAAATTATTCACTCAAAATCGATAAAATACTAAAAAGCAGTGGAATATATTGATGCATTTCAACGTATCTTCCTATTAGATAAAGCTTACTTTTTACTTCTATTAAATCGAATATTTCGATCAATTACCATTCATTTACTGATTGCAGTCGAAACTTTTCAATCGCCTTTTATTATGTCCAAAAACTATACGAATGCGAGAGATAAAAAAGAAATCTTTTCTAGAACTTAAAAAGATCTATGAAAACAAAAATAGAAGATGCAGATTAAACAATTTGACTCAGTCACTTATAGATAATCAGATCAAAATGAAGGATTTTAAACTTTTCTCTCTTACTTTTTGTTTATCCAAAAATTCCAAATATTGTTGATTATATTCATCGTCGAAATACTACACATGTAAAACAATAAGTTAAATACTTAATGTGTGGTGCACTTTAAAGTGAACTATTATGGTACCAATGAGCATAGCTATACTTATAATCATGTAGAAGACACAAACAAACTTGATAGCTGAATATAGAATCGACCAAAGGCAATTGTTTTTTTGTTGAAAACAGCAACAACAATCATATTAAATTGTGACTTTTCAAAAGAAAATCAAAAGTTTATTCAAGATTTTTATCGATAAATTTACTAGTGATCAAAACATTTACGCATAAAAACTATATTCTATTGATATAATTCTTAACTAATTCTACCAGCGTTCTGCAATGTTTCAACATCACCATCATCATTTTTTAAGGATCGTCACCTTGAAAAGTTCTCTTTTTCTTTTAGATAACTTTTGAAAAATTAACTATTCTAAATATCCAAACGTAAAGATCGATTCCTTTTGATGAGATATATAAAATTTTCTTAAGATTAATAAAATAAGAGAGGGAATATTTATGATAGAAATTAGTTTGAATTTCATCTAAATTTTCAATCATTCGGAGGAAATATATTTTATATAAGATTAGGACATCTAAATGATAATATATCATGGTTGCTGAATTTCGTCGATGGTGAATACCTAAGAATGAGTATATTTGCAAGAGTTGAACAAATGACATATTCACAAAAATGAACTAATATTATATTTTAATAAAATAGATTTTTCTCATATAAAATGTTTGACAATAAAATTGGATGATCGAGTTTATGATGCTGATGATTATTGAAATTAGATATCAATGATAACAATTAGATAGAATAATGTAGATTAGATTGATTTATCTATTCAGAAGAAACAAACAGTAAACCGTAAATGTGGGCAAAACTAAATTGACAATTGTCACAAAATCGATAAAAAAGAAACATTTCCTCAAGAGAAAGGTTAAAGAATAGAACGATAATTTATGTTATTTACTAAAAATAAAAGTTTGATTATAAACACTCAGTAATTTAACTTGCTTAAAATTAGTTCTGATTGAATTTTGAATGACTAGAATCAGTTGGAAGAGAGGGACAGAAGTTCAAAAACTACATTTGTTTTAGACATTTTCTATTCTAACCATAATTCATAGACAATAGAGTGTTTGCCTTTAGTGGATTAACCGGAAACTCACACCTCATTGTATATACTTTTGTTTACATTAAATTTTAAAAGAAAAATTTCTTTATTTTTTTTCGTCACATCTATGCAAAGCTTACTGTGTTAACAACAAAAAAAAATTTGAAACAATGTTAGATAGGTTAGAAGACAAAATTCAAATTACGAAAGTAGATTGTGAGACAAAAGTTTTGAAGAATATGTCCATCTTAAAATAGAAGAGGATGGGTGTGGGTGTTGGTGTGGGTTAAGTAGAAGATCCACATCCACATCCACACCCACACTCAGAACTACCATCAAAGGGAAATGGTCACACATAAATGATCATCAATATTAGACGTGTCCAATAACATTGCTCCAGGCAAGACTAAGATAGGTGAATCGATATTCTCTGTGTCTTTCATTTGTAGCGCTTTATTGTACGAAAAATACTTTGTTTCTTTTTTCTTTGCATTGTTGTTGATAAAAGTAAAACATTATTTCATGTGTTCTATTATTTTTCTTCTTGTTCCATAAAAAATTTAAAATCTAGTTTTTCTTGCATGATTTGACTAGACTTTCAGTTGGTTTCAACATGATTCTAAATTGATGCCAACTTGACTTCAAAGTAGGTTTGAGGTGATCACAATTGGATTTGAAATTTATCGAAAAGAACGTTACAATACAATAATCGACATTTTTTGCAACCGAAAAAATTGGATACACTCGTTTAAACGCACCAAAAAGGAACCGCGACTGTGTCCCATTCATATTAATTATTAAAACGGCAGTAACACCGTTTTTAGCGTGAAATAATCACTTTTGGAGCATTTAAACGATCAAAAACTCCTATTTTCAGTGTTTAGGCGCACATTTTTTGAGATCTTTAAAATGATACTTGTAAGCAGACCAAAACAGAAGTTTCTAATCGTCTAAATGCTGTAAAAGTGATAATTTCACGCTAAAAAATGGCGTTTCTGCCGTTTTAATAATTAACGCGAATGGATTGCGTCGTAGTTCCTTGTTGCTGCGTTTACATGCGTGTTTCCAAATTCGTGACTGCTTGAGTAACAGTGATTTAACACATTTTCTACATTTTAAAATTTCTTTTTCTGAATTTTAGTTCATCCATATAATATAGTAAGTAGAATGGACTATTGATAGTTTTATACGTATCTTAAAACTCCAAAATTTTGAACAAGCGAAGAATAAAGAATATTGCTGTTTTGGTGCAATTTTAGATTTAGAATAAGACAAATGAAATGTAGAGAATGAATAAGTATTTTCTTTGTTATAATACTCATCAAAACTTACACTCAAAACAACTGCAAATGCAAACGAAACAATGTAGCTATTGTACTTTCTTTTTTTATTTTTTGTATTCTTGATCACTTGTCCAAATAATGTATTTTATTTCTTATTATTCATTCATGAAGCATTTTTTTAAGAAAAAAAACCAATTTAAGTGACGTAGAAAAATCTTAGTCACATTAACTACTCTGTATCATTAATAACGCTATTTTCGATCTGATCCATGGCAAATAGTAACTGACCCGCACAAATACAGCAGGAACGCCAGTCATACAATTTGCGCTAAAGCTAACAATTCCATTCAAATACCTATACGAAAAAAAAAAAGTCAGGTGAAGGAAAAAATATTCGAAATAAATTCAGTGTCTTCTAACAAGTAGAATTTTCTTTTTACCATCGTTAATTGTTTTGATACATCAAAGGACCACCAGAGTCCCCATTACATTACCCAACTTCTGCAATGGCAGCACATACTTGTTTTTCAGAATCATACTTTGATGAAGACCAGTATCCACGACAGCTCATCACATTCAAAGGTGTCTGTTTCAGTAGTACACTTAAAACACCGGTTACTGATGTTTTTCCCCAACCAGCTACAAAAGAGAAGGAGATGATAATCAATATGGCAGAAAATCTGTACATTTTTTTTCTACTTCTGCTCATGTCTCAGTTATTACTGACGAACGATTCTGTTAAGGAAAAAAATGTAAAAATAAATAAAAAGACTAGGTTCTTGTCTTACCAACATAAACTTTTTCTCCTATGCTCGCTTCTGGACCTGGAAGACAGATAAAGTTTACTTTATCTGTAACTTCAACAGATTTTGATAAATACAGGATGTCTATATCATTGGATGCTTTCACGCTATCATACTCTTCATGTACATAGATCTTTTCCACGCGTATTTTCTGTTCAATAAAATGAGGTGCAGTTACATCATGTATACCGACAGTAACTGTAAAATTTTGGTTTGCTATAATACAATGTGCTGCTGTAAGAACATGTCGTTCATCAATCAAAGTTCCACTACATGAATGAGCTGTTCCATGTACTAAAACATGCCACGGCTGAAAGATATCAATGAGTGATGAAACTTAAATAGAACGAAACAAGAAAATGTATCAAACTAACCCACGAATGTGGTTTACAACAGAACCACCAATAATACGTTGTTCTAATGGAGCGTACAATTGTTTACCACATTCTTTGGGAAAATGTGGTGGTAACGTAGTTGATGGCAAACCTTGACAACAGAGACGCATTAAACCATTTGTATCATTTCGTTCCAGGAACGAAGCACTAATACATTCAGGATTTCTTTCCACTGACGGATTACCAGCAGGCCGGCTCATCCATTGTGTGCAAATTTTATCGTTTTCTCGAATATTGAGAACAATTACTTGAGCAGAAAGACTTCCAAAAACGAAAAGAAGAAAAAGAATATTTCTAAGAAACATGACTGGAGGTAAAAGCTGTTTTTAGAATACACGATAAATTGACAGATATAGTCTACTTCTTAAATAAGAAACTGATCTGAGAAAATCAATGTTCAATTTTAATCTTTTATTTTTCTGTTTTTCTTTCTTATTTTGGTTTTGAAACTTGATCGATTGTCTTCAGTCGAATCAATTTTCAAGATCCACTAACCGATTATACAATAATTAATGTTGAATTGACGAATGATAACTGTGTGACGTAGGTTTTTACTCAGATTTTGGTAATCAAAGTTGTTCTTTGTCTCTCAATACATGAATAAGCAATACATCAAAGACCGTCATAGGAAATATGATCGCTAATTGAAAAATGTGTCAACGTAGATCCAATAGGTATAAAAAGCGATATGATTTTCTTACAGATTCTCCTTTATTCTCCACATATTGAAAAAAAGGTCTCAATCTATGTCTTAGTTACATAAAAATATTGGGACTATTTTTGAACAACCATCAGATTTTCAGTCTGACATTCTATTGTCGGCGCCAGAATTAAATAGGGGTGGGTGTAAGCTCAATAACTCGACAACCGCAATAGCTAGCGATCTGCGGTTTTCGTCAATCGAAAGAGGAG